CCAGCCTGAGCAAGATGGGCAATATAGTCTCTACAAAAAATTTTAAAAATTAGCTGGGCGTGGTGGCGTGTACCTGTAGTCCCAGCTACTTGGGAGGCTGAGGCAGGAGAATCATTAGAGCCCACAAGTTTGAGGCTGCTGTGAGCTGTGATGATGCCAGTGCACGCTGGCCTGGGCAACAGAGCAAGACCCTGTCTCAAAAAAAAAGAAAGAAAGAAAAAAAGAGACGAAACAAATATGGCAAAATGTAATAACTGTTAAATTCAGGTGATTGCCAACTGGCAGAAAGGGGTCATCATACTAGTCTCTCTTTTCTGTGTATTTCAGTATTTTTCATATACAAAATAAAAGGGACTTTCCGAAAAAGCTGCTTACTTAAAAGACTCCCAATCAATAACCATTGTTTGAATGCATAAATGGACATTTTGTTAAAGGCACAATATTCTATTCTCTTTGCAATTGCAGTCTAAAAATCTAAATGAAAGAAAAAAATCTTTTTTAAAAAGTTACGCTAGGGCCGGGCGTGGTGGCTCACATCTGTAATCCTAGCACTCTGGGAGGCCAAGGCGGGAGGACTGCTCCAGGTCAGGAGTTCGAGACCAGCCTGAGCAAGAGTGAGATCCCATCTCTACTAAAAATAGAAAGAAATTAGCTGGACAACTAAAAATATATATAGGGAGAAAAAATTAGCCGGGCATGGTGGCGCATGCCTGTAGTTCCAGCTACTCGGGAGGCTGAGGCAGAAGGATTGCTTGAGCCCAGGAGTTTGAGGTTGCTGTGAGCTAGGCTGACGCCACAGCACTCACTCTAGCCTGGGCAACAAAGCGAGACTCTGTCTCAAAAAAAAAAAAAAAAAGGAATGACTATCTATGGCAGCTATTGCCTTACAAACCGTATTTCTTAAATAAGACTTGAAAGTCTAAGTGACTCCTTGATCCATAAGCTGCAAAAATGATGTTGTGTTAGCAGGCATGAAAATGACATTAATCTCCTTATAAATCTCCATCAGAGCTCTTGGGTGACTAGTTACATTGTCAATGGGGAGCAATAATATTTTGAAAGGAATTTTTTTTTTCTGGGCAGTAGGTCTCAACAGTGAGTGTTAAAGTAATCAGTAAACCAAGCTATAAACGGATGTGCTGTCATCCAGGCTTTGTTGTTCCATTTATAGAGCACAGTAGAGAAGATTTAGCATAATTTTTGAGGACCATCAGGTTTTCAGAGTGGTAAATGAGCACTGGTTCAACTTAAAGTCACCAGTTGCGTTAGGCCCTAACAAGAGAGTCAGCCTGTCCTTTGAAGCTCTGAAGCCAGGCATTGACTTCTCCCTAGCTATGAAAGTCCTAGACGGCACCTTCTTCCAATATAAGGCTGTTTTATCTGCACTGAAAATCTGCTGTTTAGTGCAGCCACCTTCATCAATTGTTTTAGGTAGGTCTTCTGGATAACTTGCTGCTGCTTCTACATCAGCACTTGCTGCTTCACCTTGCACTTTTATGTGCAGGTAAAGATGGCTTCTTTCCTTAAACCTCATGAACCAAACTCTGCTAGCTTCAAATTTTTCTCCTGCAGCTTCCTCACTGCTCTCAGCCTTCAACAGAATTGAAAACAGTTAGGGATTAGGCCTTGGCTTAAGGGAATGTCATGGCTGGTTTGACCTAATATCCAGACCACTACAACCTTCTCCGTATCAGCAAGAAGACTTTTGCTTTCTTATCATCTGTTTATTCGATGGAGTAGCACTTTTAATTTCCTTTGAGAACTTTTCCTTTGCATTTACAATTTGGCTGTTTAGCACAAGAGGCCTAGCTTTTGGCCTATCTCAGATTTCGACTTGCCTTCTTCACTAAGCTTCATCATTTCTAGCTTTTAGTTTCAAGTAAGAGATGTGCAACTCTTCCTTTCACTTGAACACTTAGAGGCCATTGTAGGGTTATTAATTGGCCTAATTTCAATACTGTTGTGTCACAGGGAATAGGGAGGCCTGAGGATAAGGACAGAGATTGGGAAATGGCTGGCTGATTAAGGTTACCATCTTATATGGGCATGGCTGGTAGTGCCCCAAAACAATTACGATAGTAACCATAACAGATATAATAACAATGACAGTCAGAAATTTGGTGAGGATTACTAAAATGTGACACAGAGACATGAAGTGAACACATGCTCTTGGAAAAAAACGGTGCTGATAGACTTGCTCAACACAGGGTTGCACAAACCTTCAATGTGTAAAAAATGCAAGATCTGTAAAATGCAATAAAGCGAAGCACAATAAAACAAAGTATGCCAATATATCTGTTTTACATAGGTAAAACAATCCAGAACAGGAGGTAATTATTAACCCCGTTTTACAAATGAAGATGAAAAGTTGAAAAGGTAGCACATCTGCTGGTAAAGCAGTGGAAGAGTTGGGATTTGAACCCAGGTCTGTCTGAGGCTAAAGTCTTGGCTATTTCCCACCACACCATATTGCCTCCCTTCCTGTCCTCCCCACGCCACCATTACCACCACCACCACTAATACAACCATGCAGCCGTCCACCTTGTGACAGAATCTTTCTCTGTACAGCCCTTATGGTCCCACAGGTAGTCTTAACCTCCCATTCAATATCAGTCCTATCTCTACCCCTACCCTGGTGGACTTTAAATCTTTCCAAAGGGCCAGTCATCCAGAGAGTAATATAGCAACAGGCTCCCCCAGCAGGACTCAGGTCTCTGCTGCACCCCTCCCAGGTCGAGCTTTTGTCATGCTTAAAGATACAGATATCACTTCATCACAGGTAACTAACTGTCGACACCCACCTCATCAGGAAAATCCTTGGGGTGGGGAGAAGTGAAACGAATCCTCATGTCAGGATCTACCCTGGAGACCTGATCCAGAAGGTGAGCAAAACGAAGCCCCCCTTGCTTGGTTTTATAGTTGGTGGTGAAGCCACGGCTGAGGTTGGTAGACACTGCATTGTTGAACTGGACCTCTGAATTGTCTCGAAAACTATTAACATTCTGACCAAGAAGTGTCACTTCTTTCAGCCCCTAAAAAAGGGAAAATATATCGAAAACAAGTTTGTTGGGAAGCTTCATGATGAATCATTAATTAAAAATTAGCTGAACTTACCAAGAGCCATGATGGAGATGTACAAAGAAATTAATGTTGCTTTCATGCCTGCTAACACAACATCACTTTTGCAGCCCACAGATCAAGGAGTCATTTCAACTTTCAAGTCTTATTATTTAAGAAATACCTTTTGTAAGGCTATATCTGCCATATGTGTGTCTTTAACCCAATAATTTCATGCTTGGGCATCTTATCTAAAGAAGTGAATTTCAGAATAAAACCTTATATAAAAATTAATCTTCAAGACATTATTTAGAATAGCAAAAAAAATAAACTGGAACAAACTCAATGTTCAATAATAATGGTTAATTTATGACCCACTCTGTCAGTTGAATGTTATATAACATGAGTATATGAAGTATTCTTATCAATAATATTTAACCTAAAGGAATTGAGCTTTTACGCCTAACTTCCAGTTACCAGAATTTGGGGGAATCTATTAAATGACAATATGAGGAAGCAATTAGATAAATCCAGACTCATGTCTGATCCCTTCAAAAAGTTAATATATCATTTAAAGTAAACAACAACAAAAAAAGTGAAAGGGTTGTTTTAGATTAAGAGAGACTGAAAAGATACAACAACCAAATATAACTGCACCAATCTTGATTGGATCTTGGTTTGACAATAAAACAGCAATAAAAGATATTTTGGACGACTAAGCAATTTTGAATATGGACTGCTTATTAGATGACATTAGTTAATTATTAATTTTCTTACATATGATAATGATATTATGGTTATACAGAGAAAAATTCTTTTTTCTTTTAGAGACAGGGTCTCACTCTGTCATCCAGACTGGACTACAGTGGCACAATCCACAGCTCACTGCAGCCTCCACCTCCTAGGCTCAAGTGATCCTCCTGCCTCAGCCTCCCAAGCTGGTAGGACTACAGATGTAAGCCACCACGCCTGGCTGAGAAAAATTATTATTCTTAGGAGATACATACTGAAGAATCTAGGGTTATGTGCTCTGATATCTACAATTTACTTTCAAATAGTTTGGAAAAAACATATTTATACATGCATGGAGATAGGTGGATAAAGCAAATATGACAAAATGTTAACAATCATGTTTATTATACTAGTTTTTCAACTTGTGCATCTGAAAATTTGCATTATAAAATATCAGAAAGAAAATAATAGTTGCTATAAAGACTTCTTTTGTAACTTTATTTTGACATAATTTCAAATTTACAGAAATATTGCAACAGTAAAAGAACCCCTCTGTATTCTTTGCCCAAATTCATCAATTGTTAACACTGAGCCCCATTTATCATTCACATATGTATATATACATTCTCTCTATATATTCTCTCACTACATACACATACATGCAAGCAAACGTTTTTTTTAAGCCTGTGAGAGTAAGTTGCAGACACCATATTCTTTTACCCTTAAATACTTCAGTACATATTTCCTGAAAACAAGGATGTTCTACATAATCGCAGGACAAGTATCAAAATCAGGAATATTGATATAAACCTATTATCTAATCCATATGCCACAAATCAAATGTTACCAATTATCCAAATAATGTCCATTATAACTTTTTTTTCCCCCTGATCAGAATCCCAACCCAGGACCATGCAATGCATTTAGCTGTCATGACTCCAGTCTCCATAAA